TTTTCTGACTAGAACATACTCCCAATTACCCAAATAGTGTAGGGGTGACCAAAGGCACCACTGTAGTCACACCCTACACACTACTGTAATAATCTGTGTACATAATATGCCTTGTGAGGTATCATTTGAAAACTAATAACTCACTGGTCAATAATATCATGGTGAAATGTTTGTAGTAACATTCTATGTAAAGTCATAAACATAACCTGAAATGAGGTCTGAAGCATGTTTAGCAGATAAGTCTGGGTAAACCAGTTTCTCAAAGACAAAGGACAAAATAACACCTCTAGCCAAATGTCATCAAAGCTGGTGGGCAAAAACCTCTCAAGTGGCCATTTATTGGCAAGAAAGGGGGCAGGAACAAAAAGAACAAACAAACAACAGCATGAACAGCAAACAACAGTATGAAACCTCTTTCACCTCAACACTCCATGACTGCAGCCTCACAGCGGGAGTGAACTTTATCTAGTGGTAACCCTCACGAAAATCCATTTCAAAAGGGGACTGAACAGTAAAGTGAGGGGCAAAACCACCCCAAGGTATCTCCTCCTATTCGACTTTCTCTCTTTCACCTAAGACAACAAAAGAAACAGCCTTTGGGAGCAGATCCTGGCCTGAGAATTCGGTCAGCAACGTTCCTGGGAACATGTGGTACGGATTTCACCTTCACCAAGTCTGGTTTGTTAAATTTTAGCATTAGAAAGCGCTTTATCTTTATTTCTGTTGTAACCATTTCTGACTTTAATGCCTGGAACTTGTAGTCACTTAAAATGCCTTTGTAGTTAAATAAACTTGTTTTATTGTTTAATCAAAACTAATCCAGTGTTGTGTTTAAACTGAATTGTGTGGGTAACTCTCCATTTAAAGTAACAAACAGTTGGATATTGATTCCCTTACAGGGGCAACAGACCTAAGATATCTGAACTGTCCAGGAGAGGGCTGTACAGTGCAGAACACACATTTTGGGTGAAAATTCAGGGCTGAATTCAGTTGGCCTGTCAGATAAATGGCTCCGATGTCTATGTGGTGGGCGATGCACCAGGCTCTGGATCTTGCTCCTCCTTGGCAATTTACATGGTAAATAGACCGCTCTGTAGACTGTCATTACTTTGACTCAGAGAATCTTTGATCTTGGGTAGGCAGCGTTAGCAAGCATATCAAACTGCTCTGAGTTCGAGGATGCTGATTGGAGCAAGAGTCTATTTGCCTTGAGCTGTGCAGTGCTGAAAGTGGGTACCCATACTTAACATGGAGGCAAGTAGTGATGATCTTTGTGGGAGGTCAGAGCAAGAATGCAACTCCCACATAGAGCTTATGGGGGGTCTCTCAACCAGTTGAGAGATTTGAGGACTCTGAGGAACAGGCAGCTTGTGCTTGTTGGGAGTGTAGACAGATTTGAGTCAGGTTTGAAGACACCAAAAGTCCAATCTTGCATGGAGTGTCACAAGCTGCCCTCTGTCCCAAAAGTTGAAGGGCTTGCTGTGGTTTGGGGGATCTGATGTAGTGTAGCAATGAGAGTGACTTTGTGGGGAACCTGTCTGGGGGGCAGGTATGCTCTGGCAGCTGCAGTCTAGAGTGGCTCCAACGCAGTCTATGTGTGGACAGGTATCAAGGCAGACTTTTCAGAATTGAGATGAAGGCCCAGAGAGTGGAAGAAGGGTAGGCCCCTTGTTTGTTGCTGACTGTACCTAGAGGAAGGAGCAACCCTTGAAGAGTGAGTCATCCAGATAGGGGAGGATGATGATTCCCATTTGTCGAAGATGGACTGTGATGACCAAGAGGACTTTTGTGAAGACTCTCTTGCTGGCTAAAAGGCCAAAGGGAAGAACCCAGTGCTGGCAATGGTTTTTGCCCACAACAAACCATAAGACTCATCAGTGAGCTGGATTACTAGCCATATGGAAATACGCATCTTGGAAGTTGAGGGCAACAAACAATTCCTCTGGATCTAATGAAGGTACAGTTGCTGCTAGCTGAGGAATATCTCTTGCGGCTGAGAAGGTGAGGGGTTTGAGCTCTTTATCGTGAAGGGTCCATCTGGACCAGTACTATTTTTTTTTTTTTGTTAACAGTGTTGACCACTACAGAGTTTGGGATGGGATGGAAGAAAAAGATACTCTGAACGCTTGGCTGGTACTTAGTAGTTTTTGTTAGCCCTCTTGCAGGTAGGCAGGATGATCACTAGAGTTTGTCATATTGGACAGGCTGGCAACAGTAGAGCATCATTGCTAGACAAGGCAATCTTTCCTCGAGGGGAGGTATGCAAACCAGGGGGTGCTGAGGTTCCTATATCTACTCCAAGGAGATCTGCAGGGCCTCTGATATTCTCTTCATTAGCTCTTGGAAGGTCTTGAAGTCATCTGCATAGGATGATGGAGGGGGCATAACAGCCCTATCTGTTGAGGAGGAGGACTTCACTGATGGAGATACCTCCTCCTCTGACCTTAATTCTTGTGCCCCAGGAGGGTCTGGCTGGGGAAGAGGGTCCTTAGGTACCAGTGGCTGTTGCTCTGGTGAGTCCCATTGCGTGACAGCAGTTTGTACAGCTGATCACGATAAGGGGTCTGCCACGGTGTGCTCTACTCACCGCTTGAGGTGCCTCCTCCTGGCTGCTCTGGGATTAGCTCTTTTCAGGTCCAAGGCCCCCTTCTGCTGCTCACTGAACACCCTGCTGCCACTCTCTCTTCCAGGTGCTACTCAGGGTGCTCTGCCTTCATGGCTTGGCCCACCAGCCTGGTCACTATAGTCCTCCCGTTCCAGGGTATCAAAGTTTTTCCTTACAGTCTCAGGAAGTCTTCTCATTCACTGCCCCAATGGTGTCACTCCCCTAGTGGCTGGTAGGGGAACCCAGGCCTGCCTCTATTCCAGGTTCCAGCGCAGGGACTCTCTAATCAGCAGCCAAGGTCTGCAACATCCTGAACCTTGCTGTCTTTTCTCTGTGCCTTTCTTACTCCCAATCTGGCTTTGCCACCCAAATTCTTTTCTCCCAGGGAGTAACTGCAAACTAAATTCTATAGCTCCAAACATGCCTCCCTTCGCAACGGGAGTGACTGCAGACTACTTCTTGCAGCCCCTATCTGTTATCAGCTCCCTGGCTTCATAGAAGCCCCACCTGTTCCTGCATAGGTGAGCTTACTGTAATTAAGGCTTTCCTTTCAGCCTAACTATCCCCCCAGCTTGCAGCCTAATAGGTTAATTGGCCCCTCTGGACTACATTAACCCTTCAGGACGAGTATGGGAAACATGCCCCATCACAGGGCCCCAGGGTTCACAAGCTCACTATGGTGAGGTCCTGCCAAGATTGATGGGACAACCACCAACTGGTTCCTGGGGTCTCGTCCTTGGGATATACCTAGGGGAGAGGGAAGCTGGAATGGGAAGATGATGGAGTCTTGGATGGGCAGTCTTTAGGACCTAAGGAAGACAGTACCAGAGCAGAGACCAAGAGGAATCTGTGTTTGGAGGGCTCCAATCCAGGTACCCATGATGGTGCTGCACTAGGATGCTTGCCGATAGACTCCTCAGTATGTCTGCTGGAAATCTTTTCGGTGGTACTAGCATGTTGATACTGGAAGAGGTGGAAGCCTTGGCAGTACCCATACTGGGATGCGGGGTTTCCCTGCTCTCTGGACTTTGGGGTGACTTTGCCTTTCTTTCAGGTTCCCTGTCAGGAGAATGGTAGCTTTCATTTTTAGAAGGCTTTGAAGCCTCTGAAGCTGCCCCTTGGTCTGTGTTTATCAGAGCCAGAACCAAAGAAGCTAGAGCACCCTGAGAGGCTGATGCTGATGTACTGGAGGGGGAGGGGGGGTTTCAAAGCCCAAAGCTCAAGGAGCCCTCCTTAAGAAGTAGTTTCAATCTGTCCTCCCTTAGCTTCTTGGATCTGCTCTTGAAGCTGAAGAAGACCTTATCCTTTGATGGGATGTGAGATGCGCCGAGGCAGCTGGAATGCCCATCGCTGAGGGGAAAAGACCTGTGGCAGGTCTGGCAGGATTTGTAGTTTGGAATTTTGGGTATAACCTACATAGGAATAAGGGTCACAAACCAGCAGAGGCCAAGGGGGATGGAGGCCCTGACCACAAACAAAAGTAGTGTGGGATGATCCCCCGCCCCAGAAAGCAGAATTTTGGGCTAGAAATTAAAATAAGAAAACAGCAAAGTAAATAAAGAAAATACTAAAAAATAAAAGAAGAAAACAAGCAAGCCGAAAAAAGAATAAAAGAAGAAAGCTAGCAAGCGAACACTGTGATATTCCGACTCAAGCCGCAATGGGCTGAGAAGGAACTGGAGCAGTGACAGGTCAGCCCCTCCCTATACACCTCTGGACCAGAGCATCGGGATGGGGAGGGAACAGGTGCAGATCCATGGGCACTACTGATGAAAAATTTCCAATCGAAAGTGCACGGGCACACACGCACCTGGAGTGGAATACCCATAGGGACAGTTACTCAAAGGGGGGAGGGATAGCTCAGTGGTTTGAGCATTGGCCTGCTAAACCCAGGGTTGTGAGTTCAATCCTTGAGGGGGCCACTTAGGGATCTGGAGCAAAAATCAGTACTTGGTCCTGCTAGTGAAGGCAGGGGGCTGGACTCGATGACCTTTCAAGGTCCCTTCCAGTTCTAGGAGATAGGATATCTCCATTAATTTATTTAATTTATTTAAAGAAGAACAAAGCATTTTCCCCCACAGACCATTATGAACTTGACATAATCAGGTACACGGTGCATATTTGCTTTATGTTTGTTTTCCACATGCAGAGTGCAGAAAGGAATTCCATAACAGTCATGGTTGAAAAGACGACAGCAGGATGCCCCTTTAACCAATGTAATGTCTGTGACCTTTGTTTCCCAGCTGGAATGCAATAAAGACAACTGCAAATGGGGAAAGCTTGCAAACCAATAAATACACCAGTTCCCTCCACCCTCAACCATTAAAACTAATGGAAGAATTTAAAGAAATTTTGGTTTTTGTCTACATATAACATTCCCCAAGAATTCACTTACTTTTTGACATCCAGCGAGCCATTCTCCTTGTTTTCCATGTCAACAGACAGCATGGAGAGAGTAGAGGTTTCTTTAAGTTCAGCAACTAATCAATAAGGAGGGGAAAAAAAACTGTGTTTAATAATCAGTAAATACAAAAGAGAAATATAATGTAACAGAAATGAGTGTTCTCCTGCACAAAACCACCTTCCCTTTGGAGAGAAAAAGTGCAGTCAGGACCCTGCTTTCCTCAGAAGCTGGTAACATCTTATAAACTAGGAAAAGCTGATGAGCAAACTCCAGAGGTGCTCTCTGCTCTACAGACAGGAACTGAACATTCGATTTGACCCTTTTCCAAAATAAGTGCTTTCTAGTACTTATTTATAGGGTTTTCTATGCCCCCTCCCATTACTCTAGCATCTCACCTATATGTATAGAATTTATTCTCACATCATCCTTGTGAGGAAGGAAATATCGGTGCCCCATTTTACAGGTGGGGAAACTTCGGCACAGATGAGCTGGGTTATTTACCCAAGGTTACCCAGGAGGTTTGTGGCAGAACCGGAATTAAATCCATGTCTGCTGAGGCCTACTTCTGTGCTTTTCCCACATGACTATCCTTCCTCAGCTAGTGAAGTGTCTTCAGTAGCTGTAGTGAGTGCAGAGGAGAGAAGTGGGGACTCATAGTTAGAGTGAAATTGAAAAAAATCCAATTTATTCTCCCTTCTTCCCCCGCCCTGCAGTGTGCAGGGATATTTTCGCAGTACATATTTTTGCACCACTATTATGTTCATGGGAGAAGTGCAGAGGTGACCCAAGACTTCCCGCCCGCCCCCCCGCAATTCACTCCTGTTTCACAGAGCACTGGGTAACTAACTAAATATTCAAGATGTTCTTGCTGTGGCATTAATGGATGCCTATGACATGTCACAGAGCCCTTTGAAGGAGAAAAGAATGGGAAACCATTACATCTATGTAAAGTTTACAAAAATCTAGGATATAAATTAACGTTTAAAAACACCTTTTGAAAAACCATTACTATATTTAATATATAATTAACAGGATGCAGAACACCAAATACAACTATTACAAACTAATCAAAAAGGTGTTTCTTTCTGTACTGTAGATCAGATCATTTAATACAATTCCCCCCAATCACGTCTCACTCCATCTAAGGAGATTACTGCAAAATGACAAGTGCAACAATTATACTATTCGCAAAATGTTCTCCCTGATACTGTGAAACAAGATTAAAAGAAGAAATAAAGCTGCAGGTGTGTGGTATTTTCATTTACAGCACACACAAACAGACAGAAACTTGCAGTTCTTAATTACTGAGATGATCTGTTGAGAGTTGCTTTCTTTTTTTGCAGTATACAAGGAAAGATTTTGGAAACTGAGTTACACACATTCACCATTTTATAAGCATCTCAGAAATCATTCACTAGGCAACATTACACCACATTGTCATTTTTCTAGGAAAAAAGTAAAAAAGAAAAACCTACCTACAAGCAACTAAAACAAATCATTTTTACAAGCTTATCAAGAACAGCAAAAGAACCCCCAAGGATTTCTTTCATAAAGTAGGCTGGCAAAGGAATTCAATAAGGAGGTACAATTTGACACAGTGAAATAAGATCAGGCTGGCTCAGAGCCAGCATGACGTTAGGAACCACATACAAGCTGCACCAACTGCCTTCTGTTTCATGGCTGACTTTTTAAAGACACAGTGCTCTGCCTGCTCACTTTAGCTAAATACCTTCAGCATAATTATTTAATGCTATAAATCACACGTCTCCTGCTGCAGAATCCACTTAACAACTGCCTTGTAAAAGAGCCACAACTCTTTTGAAATTAATGAGTCTTTCCCCCTATCCTCTTTTATCAAACTGCTTCCTCACAACTGCTTACACTGTTAAATATTCATGAGCAGTTTCCAACTAGTTTAACCTGAGTGAAAATAAGGAGAAAGCACATTTCAGATACTGCAGGAACAAATATGCTGCCGAGGCTCTAACAATACTTGCCCTTGGAAAGAATCTCAGAGGGTCGGTTTTAGCAATTTCTTTTTCAGGAAAGAGTTCCTGCAAGGAGAGCAGAAAATCCTCCCAAATCATTATACAGGGGAGTAATACACTTAACATTCAGTGTAAGATTCGTGATTTGCTTCTTGGGACCTCGACAGTGTAAACCTTTCCCACCCACCCCTACGACCAAATGCAATGTATTTAGTAACAGTAAATTCTGTTAGGAGCAACTTTGCTCAAACTGTAAAGTAGCTGATCCAAAAAAGAGGTCAAGACTATCAAGAACCTCTGATCAATTCCCACTCCAAAGATGGTCTCTCCAGAGCAGTCCTGATGCCCTCTGGCTGGGTGGTAAGGGGGAAAATTTGCACTACTGTTATCTGTGCCATAAATATTGTGTGAATGGCATACTTTGGTCTCCAGGCTATTAATCTGACATCTTCATGAACACTCCAGTCACTGAAAACGTGGTATTAGTGGTTTTGGCCAAAGTATTGTACGCAAGGGTTAAAGTCCATTTCCCTGGCAATTTCACTTTGCCTGCATTATGCAATGACAGGTAAATAAAAAAAGCACACACAAACCATTCAAACAGTACAATTTTGTGTTAAGACACTGCAAGTGGTGGTGGTACATGCTTTTTTGTTTTTTTTAGAATTTATTTAGAATAAATAAATACACACAGATAAATCAAATGGAGTAATAGACACTTATGGGGCAGTGTTACACAGCAAAGGAACCCACCGCCATTTCACATCTCACTTAATGTACTGGAAAATGTGGCATAAATACGTGTTTGTTAGACAGTTTAGCTGCACAAAGCAATTCTCTTTGTTTCTCAAGAAGTGAGCAAGTTCTAAATGAGGACATCTTGAATTTGCTGCATCAGTTGGTTTCTAACTTTGGTAATGAACTGACATTTGAGGATACAAAGTTCAGGCAGCTATTCCCTCACACCCTCTCATTCCTTCCATCATGCTGTTCAATTAAGCCTTAGAGTATTTAAAATAAAGTTCACACTGCACACGTGTTCTGCCTAAAAGTCCTTTAAAAGCAGAGATATGAATCCAATACATTAATGGCCTATGGAAGAGTTCGATGCTGAGCCCTAATCCCCAAGTTCTATTGTTTTTAAACCTGTTATGAGGTAACAATTCAATTAACAAGGAGATACTGTTTGGGGAAATATTGCTGGAGAGGGTGGGGGCAGGCAGGGGACGGATATAGAGCCTTGTTGGACTGTTTGGCTTGTTACTAGTGAAAGGTATTTTCCAGGCCACAGTGGGAATGAAGTGAACTAGGCAGTTCTCAGTTCCATGTCATGGGGTCAGCCGTGGGTGGCCCTAAGTTTATTTTATCTGCACAAGATCAAACATTCAGAAATCAGTGCAGATATTGTACATTAATATCCAAATGTCAGCTTTCTACTGAGAAGCTTTCCATGTTCCTGGAACAATCTGCAGTACAAGAAAACCAAATACTTCACACATGCATGGCAGCAAAGTGCAGCAATCCTTTAGTGGAAGAGAGAGATGCTGGAATTTAGATCTGGGAGAGCAAGACAGAGCCAAATGTCTTTTCTTTTGCAATGACATGGGGGAGAAAAAGTCAGCAAATTTGTTCAAAGGGAAAATCAAGTGAAACAAAAAATCAAATCACTTTCACTTTGGAACTTCAGTTTTCTGCTGGACTAGCTAGGCAAACTTCTCTTGAAAGAATGAAACAATTAGTGTTAAGCTGTGTGGAATGTAAGCTCTTAAGAGTGTGATAATCCCCTCTTTTATTCTTCTTTTTAAAAATAATGCATGATCCTTTTGAGCTCATCTTCAATCCAGCAGCAAGTCCTGGCTCTCCACACAGGACTGTTGTAAGTTGCTCTAAATATACTTCAGGGCAAAGCATGCATTTTTAAGGAAGCTGCTTAGGGGAGGAATACAGCAGTAACTGAGTCAGAAGAAGGAAACTGAATATTAAAAAAATCCCATTCCCTCTGAAGTGCACAACAGACCTCACTTACCTTTCTTCATAGCCAGCAAAAGGCTGCCTTCCTCCAATACAGCTGCACCCACATGCAGAGTTCCAAATAGAAGATGCTCTGGCCAATCACAGACAATCTGTCAGGTAGTGTGGCATGCTGGGAGCTGTAGTCCATAACTCCAGAGCAAGAGTAGCAGTCTAGATTTTACTGTCACTATGAGATCTCAATAAAAATATGCAGACCTACCTCTGAGACTCACTAGTTGGGAAGGAAACTTCCTCCATGCTGCATTAATTTTTAAAGCATTGATTAAAGGGGCAGGGAACCTGATTTACTCTTTGCTTGTAAACAACCTAGTAAATTAGCACTGTGAAAGTTACTTTTACTATGACTATTTAAAATACACTTATGATCATGGAATAAATTATGATAAAAAAGACAGACTGGGAGACTCCAGGAACGGAGGATTTTGGGGGGAGAGAGAGAGAGAGAGAGAGAGAGAGAGAGAGAGTGCGCGTGTGTGTGAGAGAGAGAGAGAGCGAGAGAGAGAGACTGAGTGTCAACTGGATATTTAAAATCTTCATATTGGTTTTCCTTATATTTCCTTGCAGTTAGACAGGAGAGACAACCCACAAATTAGGAGTTTAACCAAAGAAGAGCAAAAATGCTCAGAGATTTTATACAAACTGAAAAAGAAGGCAAAAATCCCAAATTCCCCTTCTTAATAAGAATCTTCCACAACGCTGTAGAAGATGAAAAATATCTGACAGTGAAGAAATCATCTGGCGGTTTTGTTGTTGTTAAAATTAATTCTTGCTAGGATGTAGATGGCAATTTGAAAGTGGCACAGATTCAGGCCAATCCATTGCCAGTCTACCTGCATAATACCCATAATTATCTCTTAGATCATTAATAGCAACAAAACAAAACAAAAAGTCCTAATTCACACAACCTGCTTTCTCATCCCCCTCCAAACTATCTGTTCTCTGGCTCTAAATATTCATTAACTTGCCAACAAAGGGCTGCATTTCCCCCTCAATTCCCTATTTTCCTGTAGTTTGATTATCATTCCTTAATTGCATTAGGATAGAATCTGTTACTTACCTTAGCACACAGTTTTGAGATTTTAACTTTGGTTGCCTTGCCCTACCATGCCTTCACGAATGTTAATGTCCCAAGCCACACATGCCATTACATGTGCCAGGATCAAAAATTGCTGTTCCTGAATTGGACAAAGAGGTCAGTGTAGAGGAGCATGAGGCACCCTCTCTTCCCTGAGGTCCCCTGCTGGCTGAGTGTTGTGCTGCTGCTAAGCAGGTGTGTGTAGTGAGCTGGCTAAAAGCCAATGGCTGCAGAGATGTCAGTGGTTTTGTAAGGCACTTCTCAAGTAGAAAACATGTGAAGAATACAGTAGTGTAACTTGCACAAATCTGGCATTCAACTGGTGTGCATAATGAGTGCAAACGTATACACCAAGGCCCTGATCCAGCAAAGTTAATTAGATGCTTAGGATGCTCCCATGTTTAAAGTTAAGTATGTGCTTATAATGTGTTGCTGGGTCAGGGCCCAAGATCGTCTACTCTGATTTACACTCTGTGCAGCTACTTCAATGGAGTGACACATGGTGTAAATCAGGGCAGAAGGGAAGAGGTGTTGAAGGAACAGCAATGAACATGCAGGAGGAAATCACATTCTGGGGTGCAATCTAGACCAGTGAGGGGTTGTGTCACCACCTGCCCTGCAACCCAGGTGTCTCACAATGCTTTGCTGCTGTTGCTCCCAACTAGGGTGACCGCCTTTTCAAAAGGCAAAAGTGGGACACATGCAGGAGCCCCGCCCCTGCTCCTCCTCTTCCTTCTGAGGCCCCGCACCCTGGCTAGGCTGGGAGTCAGAGCCAGACTGTGGTAAGAGCTGTCCAGGGAGCCCAGGCCACTGTGGGGAGCCCCCAGATCCTCTACCTGCTCTGGGTAGGGGGCTGGGGTGACTGAGAGCAAGCTCCCGGCCTGTATCCCCGTTCCCTGGGGTGCGCCCCAGGGAAGGTGGAGGGTCTGGGACACCCCAGAGAGGTCTGGGCTCCCTGAGCAGCTCTTACTACTGCCCAGCTCCTGGCTTTGCCAGGAGGCAGGGCCTTGTGAGGGGAGAGGCCTCGTGGTGAGGGGAGGCTAAGGCCCACCTCAGTTAACTGCTCCCCTCCTCCCTGGAAGAGGCTGGTGCCACCCCTGAGCCTCAGGTGGTTTATTACAAAATTATTATGATTGCATGTCTGGTGTGAATACAAGTGTGCGTTCAGTCACAGAGGAAGATAAAGGAAAGGGACTCCAGCTATATCTTACACCTGTTTTATTGGTGTTGGAAGGATTAAGCACCAGGGAGTGTCTTGTCCCCCTGTTCCTTCTCACCTTTTCCTGAGACAATAGTTGCTGTTTCTCTTTTTTCCCCATCCATTTTCTCTCTCATTTCTCTTCCCTGTCTATTCTCCTCTTTTGGTCTTTCATCTTGTCTATTCATTTTTACATTTGTAGTCTTGGTAGCCATTTTACTCATTGCTGAGTTCTCTTTGACCCCTGCTCACTCCTTCCTCCCTGGTAGCTCTGATCCTGTCCGCCCCCTTCTCCCACTCACCACATGGGAAAGTGGATGTATTTCCTGCTGTGTTACATGCTCACTGTGTGTGGCGGGAGAAGGGGGTGAATATGGAGTCCTGCAGTTTTCCCACTCATTGTTCCCTTCCTCTGCACTGCACCTGCCTTAGCTAGTTTGATGCCATGATTGAAGGTTGTTGAGGTAAGAACTGCTCCTAGCTCCTGAAAAACTAAACAGCAATTGCTAATTTCTTTTGACAAAATGCACCTTCAAGTATCTTCCTTTTACCTTAGAGACAGACCTTCACTTGTCAAGAACACATTCCCCAAAGAGTGTCAAACCATTAACAAGAAGGTTCAGAATGGGTGATACCTGTAAAGAAACATAGATTGAACTAAGAATGTTTTTTAGACCTGTTGACCATAATTCCAATTTAGAACTTGCTGCAGTAAATGTTTTATTATAGGCTTTACAGAAAGGACGAGAGCCCACGATTGTCTTTGTTCATCCACTCCACCAGAGGGCCCTTTTTCCTGCACGTGATGTTTTGATATCTACATACCAAAATCCAGAAAGACTTCAATGAAGGGCCCTATTCTTCCCTGGTGAAGAGCCATTCTGTGTTGGCTCTTGGGGTACCCAGGACTGGGTCACCTTGTTACCCCCGCCACCAGTGAGAGGGAGACCTGCTTGTGCTTAACTGGGTGTCAGCTCCCTGACACGACCAGCCTGTTAACCACCCAAGCACTCTCATCTGGGCTATGCCAGCCCTTACTGTGCCTTGCAGATTAATAATAGATACACCATAGTCCCTGAGCCCCTTCAAAAGGTTCCCCTGTAGTCAGGGGTGAAAGTAACTTAAAAGACTTACCAGTACTCCGGAGTCCTGAGCAGGGGGCAGGGCCTCAACCAGAAGAGGCGTGGCCTCAATCGGAAGAGGCGGGGCCTTTAAATCACCCCTGGAGCTACCAGCTGCAGAGGCGTCTGGGAGCCCAGGGCTAGGGGGTGATTTAAAGGGCCCGGGACTCCAGCTGCCGCTACAGCAGCGGAGCTCCAGGCCCTTTAAATTGCTGACGGAGCACCAGGGGCTCCCGGCTGCTGCCACTACCCCAGGCTCAGGGCTCTGGTGGAGATTTAAAGGGCTCAGGGCTCCGCTGCGGTAGTGGCAGCTGGGAGCACCTGGCCCTTTAAATCACTGCTGGAGCCCCGCTGCCGCTACCCCAGGGCTCTGGCAGCGGGGCTCGGGCGGTGATTTAAAGGGCCCAGGATTCCAACCACCACTACCACCCCGGGCCCTTTAAATTGCCGCCCGAGCCCTGCTGCTGGAGCCCCCGGGGTAGCGGCGGCAGTCGGGGGCTCTGGCGGTGATTTAAAGAGCCCTTTAAATCGCCGCCTGAGCCGCCTCCGCCACCCAGGGCTCTGGCAGCGGGGCTCTGGTGGCAATTTAAAGGGCCGAGGGCTCCGGCCGCTGCTGGGAGCCCCAGGCCCTTTAAATCGCCGGCCTGGGGAAGCTGGTCCGGTCCAGCACAGCATAACGGCTCTTGCCGGTACACCGTACCGTACCGGCTTACTTTCACCTCTGCCTGTAGTATTCATACCCATACCATTGAACAATCTCAGAAATACCAGGTCTGCTGTCCCCCAGGGAAGAGCGTACAGACCAGCGTGCATGATTCAACTCAGGATCAGCACCAGGCTTAATTCCACAGCACTGAGATAGATTTGTAATTAAAACAACAAAAGGTTTATCATCAAAAGTTCAAGATTCAAGAGGTACTGAGTAAGGACAATGGAAACAAAAGGTTACATATAAAACAATATCATAACATTTATCTAAAGACTAAACTGAACTATTAGGTTAACTTCCTGTCTAATGAGGTCTTATCTCATCCAAAGTCTTCTGCAGCGTCTTCAACCAAGGCTAGCTGTGTTCCTGTTTTCATGATGTAAACACACCGCCCATTTACTTCCTAGGTGCAGGACCAGGGGATGTCTTTCTTGCCTTCCACTTATATTCCCCAAGTCCACGATCTGTACTCAGAGACAGTATAGGGTTGCCAACATTCTAGTTGCACAAAACCGAACACCCTAGCCCCACCCCTTCCCAGAGGCCCCTTAGGAAGCTGATCACATATCTGTGGCTTCTGTATACACTCTCACCTCTGCTGTTCCTCATGATGAAATAGATGATCTCAAGAAGGCCCTGCTGTGTCTAACTGAGCAAGTTAATCAGCCACTCCGGCTGAATACTCTAGTGGGAAAGCCCTTTCTCCAAATCATTGTTGAATAAGTTGAATAGGATTGGTCCTAGGACTGACTCTTGGGGAACACCACTAGTTACCCCTCTCCATTCTGAGAATTTACCATTTATTCCTACCCTTTGTTCCCCGTCTTTTAACCAGTTCTCAATTCATGAAAGGATCTTCCCTCTTATCCCATGACAACTTAATTTGCGTAAGAGCCTTTGGTGAGGGACCTTGTCAAAGGCTTTCTGGAAATCTAAGTACACTATGTCCACTGGATCCACCTTGTCCACGTTTGTTGACCCCTTCAAAGAACTCTAATAGATTAGTAAGACACGATTTCCCTTTAGAGAAACCGTGTTGACTTTTGCCCAACAATTTGTGTTCTTCTATGTGTCTGACAATTTTATTCTTTACTATTGTTTCGACTAATTTGCCCGGTACCGACGTTAGACTTACCGGTCTGTAATTGCCGAGATCACCTCTAGAGTCCTTTTTAAATATTGGTGTTACATTAGATATCTTGCAGTCATTGGGTACAGAAGCCGATTTAAAGGACAGGTTACAAACCCTAGTTTATAGTTCCGCAATTTCACATTTGAGTTCTTTCAGAACTCTTGGGTGAATGCCACCTGGTCCCGGTGACTTGTTAATGTTAAGTTTATCAATTAATTCCAAAACCTCCTCTAGTGACACTTCAATCTGTGACAGGGGGATTGCTGCAGATATCTACACACTCCCTAAGGACTTCTCCCACAGGGAAGAATGGAAGAGCTTCAGAGTTTAAAGGGGGCATTCTAGTTGTGCTTTCAGGTTGATCTGATTCAAGTGATGGTACAATAGACCCAGAAGACATATCTGAGTGTCCATGATACATAGGTATATAGTCTGGGTATACCTCCTCCACGAGGGGGGACCAAATATGTCCATTTAGGTAGCAGAGGCTGGCACAGGAATAGCACCACTTATAGAATTGGAAGAGGAACTCTTGGAAGTCAGGGATCTCCTCTGGCAAGATGATCTGGGTACAGGGATAGGCTCGATATCTGATGGAGCATCCATTCTGACGTGTTGCCCCAGAGGAAGTAAATGGTTTCAATGTAAAGTCTTTAATGGGCCGCCATTCTTTTCAGGCTTTAATTGGTAGACAAGTAGCCCAGGCATTTGATTTTCCACAATGTAGGACTGTGAACTCCATTGGTTTGCAAGTTTGTTTTCTGGGGAGACCAAGGTTCCTGATAGCTCTATAGTCTACACACATTCTGGCCTCATTTGTTAGCTATAACATGTTTTATAATGATGCAGATAATTACAAAGGCATACTGCAATCACAGAAGTTGTAGGTTTGAATAAATACATTGGTGTGAATTGGAAGGTTGGGTCCAAGGCTAGTACCCAGGAATTCTAGCATTCTAGTGATGTCGCTAACTTTTTTAACACAGTTGCCCTACAAGGAAAATGTCTGCCTGCTTCTGAGTGTTGTGAGGATAAGTTAATATTTGCAAAACATTTTGAAGCTATTAATATGTAAGCACTAAGTATTTATTATTAATGCTGTGTGCGGGGTGAAAGTAACTTAAAGTACTTACCGGTACACTGGAGTCCTGAGCAGGAGGCGTGGCCTCAACCAGAAGAGGCGGGCCCTTTAAATCCCCGGGCCCTTTAAATCTTGATTTAAAGGGCCCAGGGCTCTGGCTGCGGTAGCGGTGACTGGGAACCCAGGGCCCTTTACATCACCCCCGGAGCTACCAGCTGCAGAGGTGGCTGGGAGCCCCGGGGCAATTTAAAGGGCCCAGGGCTCCAGCCGCCACTACCGCAGCAGAGCCACAGGCCCTTTAAATTGCCGACAGAGCTCCGAGGGCTCCCGGCTGCCGCTGCTACCCCAGGGCTTGGGCGGAGATTTAAAGGGCCTGGGGCTCCACTGAGGTAGTGACGTCCGGGAGTCCCTAGCCCTTTAAATCACCGCTGGAGCCCTGCCGCCGCTACCCCAGGCTCCGGCAGCAGGGCTCAGGCGGCCATTTAAAGGGCCTGGGGCTCCAGCAGCTGCAGGGAGCCCCAGGCCTGTTAAATCGCAGGCCTGGGGAAGCCGGTCCAGTCTGCCACGCCATACCGGCTTACTTTCCTCTCTGGCTGTGTGTAGTATGTTATCTGACATACATGTCCAAGGAGGCAAATTTCTGTTCCCTACGATTCTTCAACAAGCATTTTACACAGGCTTGTTTGTTCACACAAACTCAGAAGTTAATATGTGAACTTTTCCTATTTGTCCTGATCCAGACCTTAATGAATATGCCATCTACTGGCCAATTCAGTTTATTTAAATTGTGTCATCTTGTTACAGAGAAGCTAAGCAGAGATAGAAGTATGGTTTTTGTTTTGATTGTATGCTAAAGTATTTTGGAACTTCATTTCCATAGTATGCCCCATTTACTGTATAATATTATGTTTGCCAGGGCCTGGAGGTTGAAACGGCCATGTTTTTCTCTATAAAATAGTTGGAGTAATAAAAAAGACATGAAGAATCAATTCACTAAGAATTCCCTTGCCATTTATTAAAGTGGGAAAATCAGATTTTTTTTAAACTATTTGCAGACCAATTATGAGAGGAGCACAGAGAATCTTAAATTGTGTCTTAATTGCACAAATAGTATTTGGTATTAGCTGGAATATTATACGATAGGCTCATTAAGAGGACTAAACTGAGTAATT